CCCGGATTTAAACTACTGAAAAGTAAATAAATAAAAGTGGATTTGTGTTAATAATAAAAAAAAGAACAAAGAAGCATATATATTGAAAGTATAGTATTCTAACTAATGCTTACACCATGTTTATTAAAATGTATTTTATTTTTCTCCCAACAGAGAAAATTTTGAAGATTTAACCCAGGTAACTCTTGTCAATTTTGCATATCCATCACATGTCATTACTGTTTTCCATTTATCATTTATGTTTCCAGGTGAGGAATTTCCCAACGTACTTTTGTCATAAATTCTCCATAGAGTAGCAAGGCTCAGAGTGTGTTTTGAAGACCCCTTAGTTGGCCAGGAGGCCTAGTCAGGGAAGTTCAACCATATATTTACAGAAGGTGGATTTTTTTCTCCAATATTCTTTTATTAAATAGCAGAAACATTATTCAAGTGCCTTCTGTTGAAATACTAAAGAAAATTGGAAACTATTAGCAAATATTGTCTTGGTTGTTCTTATTTGGTAAAATATGCTCTTTTCACAAAGTACATGTTAACATATATTTTATGAATATAATGTAGCATGTATCATGGTTTTATAAATTAGTATTATTTGATGTGTTCTCAGTTTTATTACATGGTACATTTGATAAGTCTAACCCACAAAATACAAAAGCTTGCCGGGCGGTGGTGGCGCATGCCTTTAATCCCAGCATTCGGGAGGCAGAGGCAGGCGGATCTCTGTGAGTTCGAGACCAGCCTGGTCTACAAGAGCTAATTCCAGGACAGGCTCCAAAACCATAGAGAAACCCTGTCTCAAAACAACAACAACAAAAAAAAATACAAAAGCTTTACAGGACCCAGGTATGATTTGCAACCTGAGCAAACAGGAGGATGATGTAGGGGAATAAGAAATTTGAGGCCAGCTTAAGCTATAAAGCAAGATCTTGTCTCAAAACAAATTCCATGAAATTATTTAAAGACTGGAGATGTAGCTCATTTGGCAGAGCACTTTCCTGGCTTGCACAAAGCCCTTGGTTCAATCCCCAGAACCACATAAACTGTGTGGCTACTAATCCATGCCTGTGGCCCATGGATCAAGGCTGGTCCATGTCAGCACTCCAGAGACAAAGGTCCAGAGTTCAAAGTTATCTTCAGCAATACAGTGGGTTCAATCAACCCATAATCTCAAATGTTATCAAGGATATATAGAACAATCAGTTTTGGGCTACCCGGCAAGACCCTGTCTAAAACACTATACCCCAAAACAAAGGAGACATAATTCCAGTTAGGCAAAATATATAATGCACAAAACTCTTTAATAATGCCTTTTAAATCTAGATTTTTCTAGATTTAACTGAGTTGACCCCAAAGGTGGCAAGGCCAAATTCTACTAAAGAGAGTGGGAAGAAATTTACAAATGTTCTGAAAAGCGCCAGCAGCAGATGGTCTCCTCAGAGTCCTTGCTGCCTTTGCAGAGCAAACGATGCTAATGATGTCCCAGCAGACCATGACTATCTGATCTCTAGCATCTCTTAATCTATGTGCCGGGCACACAGTAGCAGGCGGGACAAGTCCCTACCCTCATCGTTGTGTTGTTACAGCTTGTTGAAAGGCATTATACAAAGCTGCTTATTCAATTTATAAATCCAGTATAATTCTAAAATCCAAAACTTGACCCAGTTCCGAAAATTATTGACATCTTTTTGAAAATACGCAAAAAGTTGGCATAAAATAGCAACAAGAAGTATCAACAGCAGGCAGTTGCCATGCAAGCATGGTGACCGGCGCTCCATTCCCAGAACCCACATAGAGGCGGGAAGAGAGAAGCAGGTCCACACAATTGTTCTCTTACCTCCACGCACCATGACACAACCACCAACCACATACACAAGTACACGCACGATAATAAATAAAATTGTAACTAGATGTCTAGAAGACAAAAAGCAATCATCTAGTATTGTCTATTGGTATTAGGCATCCCAGGAATCGGTCAGCATCACCTAGAACAGTATCAAAACGAAGGCTATAAAACATCATCACAGTACTTAGGGACTTATCACTAAGATTTTCCACAAAGAAAGACTCCATCCCCATATTTATGACCTAAGAATCACTACAGAAGCAAGTAAGAGAAACCTGCCACTCAGCTCATCAAAACAAAACAGCCAAGCCAAGAAGCTAAGGCCAGACCATCACAATGGCTAGCTCAGGTGCAGCTAAAACCATCACCAGAAGCCAGCAAGGACTTAAATGCCATGAATAAATTTAATATAGTAATTATTGATTATACTATAGTTAATATCTCATGCTATATACCCATCTCACACTTATAGAACATTTGGTAGGCTCTGTGTCAACAAAGGCAGATGATGGCCCATGCCTTCTGTAACAACTAGGCAATTAATTTAGGAATTAATAATAGAATTTCTTAGAAAGTCTCCAGGCGCAGATTTTTTTGTTTTGTTTTCCTCCCTCACTAGGCAACCCAAGCTGGCTTTAAGCTTGCAGTCTTCCTGACCCTGCTCTTAGATTGCTGGGGATTATGGACATATACCCTTACACCCAGCCTCCACCTTAGGGAAATCTAATGTGTGAGTGCTTGGCCTGCATGTATGTATGTGTGCCACGCAGATGGGGTGCCTTTGGAGGCCAGAATAGGGCACCTGATTCTCTGGAACTGGAGTTACAGATGAATATGAGCCAACATGTCTCTGAATCAAACCTGGCCCCTCAGAAGAACAGCAGAGCTCTTAAATTTTAAACACTGAGCCATCTCTCCAGTCCCCAGATAATGGAGATTTTAAATACATGTGTTCACGGATTATAAAAGAAACCAAAATGAACATTACAAAGTTTTTCTAATGTTTATTTAGTTTTATGCATACAGATTTTTCTTTTTTACCTGCCTGTACGACTGCACACCACGTACATACAGTGCCCCCAGAGGAGGGTGTTGGATCCTCTAAGGCTGGAGTTACAGACGGTTGTGAGCCACCATGTGGGTGCTGGGAATTAAACCGAGGTCCTTTGAATGAGCTGTCAGTGCTCTTAACCCCTGAGCCATCTCTCCAGCTTGAAGAATTACAAAGTATTTTAAACCAAATAATGACGACCTCCAGGCAGATATTCAAGAACAGACAGTCATCCCCCTCTCAGCAACAACCCAGAAGAAAAATATGTGCAAGGGACATGAACGTGAACCTTGAACACAGGGAGAGACCTTTGCATTTTCTCACAAAACAAACACAGTCAAACTACATCAAAATTCCATTTTTCATCCATCTGAGTGGCGCTGTCCGAGGAGATAGAAGGAAAGAGCTCTCAGTTATTGCTATGGCAGGCAGGTCTACCGCGGAAACTGCTGTGTAGTAGCTGGGAAACTTACTATGTGGAGCCAGCAAAAAGGCACAGTATGTGTGTGTCTGGGGGGCAGGGGGCATTGCCGCACAACTTGGTGACTTGGGTTTGATCCCTGGAACCCAAGTGTCCTGGTTATCTTTAACTGTCAACTTGACACAGCCATCTGACAGGAAAGCACGCGTGGAGGAATTGTCTCCATCAGATTTGCCCTTGGGTGTGTATTTGTATTAAAAGGAGGGAAGATGTATCTTTCTTGGTTCTATAGAAAAGTTTTTAGAACTTAGAGAAATGGAGCCAATAACTAACTGGCTCCCTGCGGGTGGGCACTGAGTGATGGAAAGGGGAGGCATTTGGTTGCTGTCGTTCTCTTTGTCATATAATTTGCTTTGGGCAATGTGAATAAATTATTCAAGAAAAAAATAAGGAAAAATGGTATCTGTTTTTATAAACCTATGATGTCAAATGCTAAGGATAAGTTACAAATGGTGTGCAGAGGGTGATTTCGTTTTCCATAAAACGTGGGGAAGTGTAGGAAGGCTGCCATGTCCATTTATGGTCTAAAGAAAGGCGTGTGATCATTAATACAGGATATTATCATCAATTAGTTCCAGAAAGATTTTTTTTGAACACTTCATGGACCTTTGTGTTGTTCTAGTTATTAAAAACTACAAACACTGCTTTTGATGTTTTAAAGTAGAAAATAATGAAAACCGTTTTCTCACTTTTGTTTTTATGTGTATGCATATTTAAGCTACACATACAACCGTGTGCCACCTGCCTGCCTGCTGCCTGCAGAGGCAGCAGAGAGCACTGGAGCCTTCATACCTGGAGTTAAAGATGGTTGTCAGTCCCCATGTAGGTGCTGGCAATTAAACCCAAGTCCCTCTGAGTAGCTAGTACTCTTAACCACGGAACCATCGCTTCAGCCCCAGTAATGAAAACATTTGAATTAATTAAGAACATTTTGAGTGGTTTTGCCACAACAACAACAACAACAAAAATGAAATTTGTATAAAATATAAGGAAATGCAAATGTTTTGTGTATTTTTAATATTCTCTGATAATTTTATGTATGCATAGAATGTATTTGTTTATACTAACCATTATCCCTCCCCCAAACTACTCTAAGATTCACCCTCTGTCCTCACCCCCTCCCAATTTAGTGTACTCTTCTTTTTTATAACCCACTGAGCCTGATTTGTGCCTCTCATATTTTCTTTTATAGACTGTCACTATATGGGTATATGATCCAGAAATTTCCAGCAGCGAAGAGTTGAAATGGACTGCGGAGAAACCTTCTCTTGTAAGTACAAACATCATCTTAGGTTAGATCACACAGGCTGCCTGTCTTTTTAAGGACTGAGTGTAAGCTATAATCAATGGATAGTCTTCTATCCACATGTGTGCCATGACTGACCTCCACATGTGTGCCATGGCTGACCTCCACATGTGTGCCATGGCCGACCTCCACATGTGTGCCCTGTGACCTCCACATGTGTGCCCTGTGACCTCCACGTGTGTGCCCTGTGACCTTCACGTGTGTACCATGTGACCTCCACATGTGTGCCCTGTGACCTCCACATGTGTGCCATGGCAATGCACACCGTTACCCACAACAAAAACACAAAATAAAAAGAAAAAGAAAAACTTAGGTTTCTGTATTTTCAGGATCTCAGCAGTCTTCATTCACGTAGGCTTCTGATGGAGCAAAGATGCCCTCAATATGTTGGCTCCCGTACCATGGCTTATATTCATTTATAGATCGGAGCAAGTACTGTCCCACGGAGCTGCACCTCTATTCATAAAATTCTTAGGGGGAAGAAGCTAGATGGTTAAAAGAAACAAAAAATAAGCTGGGTGATGGTGGCACATGCCTTTAATCCCAGCACTCGGGAGGCAGAGGCAGGCAGATCTCTGTGAGTTCGAGGCCAGCCTGGTCTAGAAGAGCTAGTTCCAGGACAGGAACCAAAAAAAGCTAAGGAGAAACCCTGTCTCAAAAATCAAAAAAAAAAAAAAAAAAAAAGGAACCAAAAATTAAATCTTGAAAGTTTGTTGAATATATATAAAAGCATAAATAATATCTTAATTAAAAGAACATTATTAAATACATGAAAGTAATTCCAAATACCTTTGGCTATGAAAATAATAAAAGAGAAACTTTATCTGTTTTTGTTTTTTCAGAATTCCAAAATACTAACCAACTTGTTGAACACCCTGGGGCAACACCCTCACGTTCACACGACAGCGAAGAGGATCACCTATGACCCGAATCCCTTAAGTTTGGAGGGGTATTTAATTTTTTAATTTACCTCTAATTTAAAAATCGGAAACTTTAAACAAGATTTGAAAACATTAGTGGACTTTTATAAAATGTATCTGACATGCGATTTCCAAGGGAAGAATTCCTTTATGCTACAGGAAAAATAACTTGCGATCATTTCGGCTGACAATCAACTCGGAAAACACCAGTCAGACTGGTGTTTAGAAACCTAACCCTCAATCTAAAAGCCTCAAAAGCGGTGACCATGTCCCTAAATGTTCCCAGCTCAGCTGTGAAAGTGGACTATAGCTGTGTGTGACTGTAATAGTCCCTGCCTCCACCAGTGCCCCGTAACACACAGGTTCTCTAATAACCAGAAAGGCAACCTCTGTTAACCAGCAAAGGTAGATCACAAGGTACAGACAGGCTTTCTTAACCTCCTGAGCTCCTAGCCACAGGCAGAGTGGGTTGGAACTAAGGGATATAGTTACTGTCTTCAACAAGGGAACCGAGATGTTCCCATGGAAGTGAACCCAGGCTACTGAGTGACACACTGCCTGACCCAGGCCTGCAGGAGAGGGAGGAGGGAGTACTTTCCTGAAAGTGAAGTGGCCAAATCGGGAGTCTTCTCAGTGTGGGTGAGGGGTGACAAGTTCCAAGACTTGCAGAAAACTGCAATGAATAGGTAAAGAAGTGCCACTCAGATCTTCGAAGGAGTAAGTCGGAACTCAAAGTATTCATGCTTTTATAACACTGTGGAAGTGGCAATGTAGGACCAGCGATCCCTATAAAACCAAACTGCAGGCCATCTCTGATGGAGCAGAAGGGCTGGGATTAAAGGTGTGTGCCACCACTGCCCGGCCCTTTCCTATTTTTAACAAGCTTTGTTGAATGATAACTTACACGCCATATAATCCACCATTGTAAACTATGGTTCACACCCATTCAGTGGTCGGGACATTCCCACTTGCCCACCTGGTGCCACTATTATACGAACATGACTTCTGGTTCAGTCACTCTCAAGTTGGCAAGCACCTTGGTTACACTTCCCTTCAGCTCTGCTGTGTACCATGCTGCTGGGAGCATCTGCATGTTGATTTGCAGCTGCCACCATGCCTTGTTTCTCCTTGACATGCAGAAACAGCTCGATTTCTGGGGCTTGTGGTATCCCTCACATCTGGTTTTTGAGGGATGACTTAAACTGTCCGGTTTTAAAGTCGCTACCCTTCTCAGATCTCCCTCGGCAGAACAGAAAGTTTCCTGCTTCTCTACACCCACTGCATGACACCTGTTATTGTCTGCCTTATATAGTAGTAACCATAGAAGGACCCGCTGATGAAATTAATAAGTGTGGTGTAGTTGACTTCAGAGGTAAGAAGGAAAGGCGTATCTAAGGGATTTGTCTTCGTCTGTCATACAAGAAAGCAATAGGTGATGTGTAAAACTGTATGTTAAGAAAGAGGGGGATGGGACTGTTTACTTGGTGTTAGTGAGACATACTGCAGAAAAAAAAGAGCATCCAAAGTCAAGAGTATTTTCCTCTCTGAGTGAAGAATAAACAAATGGAGCCATGGCAGCCTATGTTGATAAAAGCTTAGGATTTTTTTTAGATGTATAAGCTGTGCATGATGGATCAGAGAAAGCAGAGATAATTTTTCTTCTCTCTTTTTTCTTTTCTTTTTCATTTTTCTTTCCTTAGAACCTGGAACGTTACTCTGCCAATGTCCTCAGATGATGTAGTGAAAGAGATAAGAGGAACCGAAGTGGCTTTCCAAGATTGTTTCATTTCCAATCGCCCCTTCCTTCTGACGTTTCCATTGTTGATCCTCTCCTCAGGCCCAGCAGACTTACCAGTCACAGTGCCTGCTGGAAGTCCATTGATGCGTGCCAGTGGTGTCTGCGTTTATACGTTTTCTGTCCTGGTCACTGAAGATGAAACCTTCCAAACAAATGATTCCTTCCTTACCTGGACCAGGATAAGAGTCCCCCCAGGTATCCTGAGTGAAACTGACAGGCACAACGTCAGTGATGTGACCATACTCAAAGGCGCAATTGTTTTTATAATAAATGGTGGCATTTATGTAAAAACTGAGGGGTCATTTAGAAGACTGGACAAGAAAGACGGTGCTCCTGAAAGCGGCGTTGTTGGCGTTACAAGAAGAACGTGGTGTAAGGTCAGGTATTTATTTAAGGTTAGTGAAAGGTGATAAATGTGAGTATGTGTGTTATCTATATATTACTATAATGTTTATTCCGTACTATATTAGGGGCTCTACAAAGCATCTTTTTGCATGGTTATCATCTCTCTCAGCTAATAGCCCCACTTACCTTCTAAGACCATACAAGATTCAGCACGTTCAAGCTCATATTTGGCTAAAGACAGTTATCTAAAGATGTAAACAACTATGTCTCTGAAATTCAAGTTTTCTGAGGTATCTTAGCAATAAAGATGTTAGCCCCAGTGACAAAGAAAGGAATTAATCTTGTATGCTATCATGAAGAGCAAGGCAGTCACACTGTGAGGACTGAGCTTCCCTATATATGTTCCTCCAAGACCCTGTGTGCTTTCAAAAGTTAACCAACCTGCCCACAATAATATGGAGAATAGATACCAAAGCATTCTCACTACAAAACATAAATATTGCACAAAAATGTAAATGTTCTTAGAATACATCGTTGAGCTCCTAAAGAAACATGGCAAAAGCAAGCACACATGTTGAACATGAAAATGTATGAAATAACCAAGCCGACCATGAAGGATGGTCTGAATGATGTGTGGCTACAGTTCCAGTTGCCGTGAATCCTGGACAGTAGGGCTGGGCTATTCCTGGTAGCAACGATGGGGCCTGGCTTGCTTACAACATTCTCAGCTTGGGTGGTAATGAGTGTGGCTGCTCTGACACCCACCTCACAAACACTTCATAAAGCGTTTCATAGATCCACAACATAGGACCCACCAAGCTGCTCCCCACCTCAGGGAAGCCTTGGGGTGCTCTGCTCAGCTTCATCAACCCCACTGATGCTTTGGGAAATGAGCTTCCACTTAACCTGTGTCTTAATTGAATCCATTCTTTCCAAGAGGACAAGAATGAAAGGACATACTGCCGCTCCCACCCCCACCCCCTATTCCCAATCCCCACAGTAAGAGAAATTCTTGGAGGAAAAAAGCTGTCCCGAAGGACTGGCCCAGAGGAAGATGCAAATTTCAACATGTGCGCTGTCCTCAGGACTGACCTCTGACTGTCAAAGTTCAGATACCAGGAGGCGAAGCCTTGGGACAGAGTAAAGTGGGGCGGGGGGGGGGTATGGAACAAACTCTTTTTGCATAAAATGACCTCCAAAGAGATCCTAATACATCCAAACCTCTGTCAGCTTTCATTACAGAAAGTGGAGGGACTGGAGATTGGCTTAGCAGTAAAGAGCGCTGAGTGCTCTCCCAGAGGACCTGACTTTGAGTCCCAGCACCCACGTGGTAGCTCAGAAACATCTGTAACTCCAGTCCGAAGGGATCCAATACCCTCTTTTGACCTCCTTAGGCATCAGAAATGCACATGGATGTACAGACATATATCTAAGCAAAACACTCATATACATGAAATGATAAAATAAATCTAAAAATTAATGTTCTAAACACTAGGATAGTTTAAAAATGCAGGTAATACTTAAGAATATACATGCATACACATGTGGAAGAGAGGTCATGTATTTGAAAGAGAACAAGAAGGGGATATGGAAGAATTTGGAGTAATAAAAGGAAAGGGGAAATGATGTAATTATATTAAAATCTCAAAAATAAAAGAACCGTTTCTTTAAAGTGTTTCCCTCTGGAGTGTTCCTACACAGCAGCCAGCTCACGGTCGCTTAGGTGTTTGAATTCACAGTATGTATGTGGGTTACTTACATGTAACACCTGGGAAGGGAAATCTATTGATTTCCAAATTGGCCTCTGTGGATCATCTCTATTGTTAATTGGTGGTGAAGGCCCAGCCTCGAAGTAGCCGGCGCCATTTCCTAGGGTTTGGTTCTGACCTGGGTCATGTGTGGAGCAATGGGCACCAGTGAGAGAGGACGCCAGTGTGGAGAACACAAGTTCACATGCCTTCTTTCTCTCTCTGCTCTTGACTGTGGATGCGACGCTACTTCCAGCTCCCGCCTCGACCTCCCTACAGTGTTGGACTGCAACCCGGGACTGGGAGCCAAATCAACCCAAATCCTTCTCCCTTGGGGGCTGCCCTTGGTTAGTTTTTGATCACAGGAATTGGAAAGATTGGGAAGACACATTTCTGTATCAGAAAAGAAGAAATTCTCAAATCAAACATCTCTGTTTCCATATTAAAGAAGTAGCTGAGGGCTCTGAAGGGATGCCATAGTAGGGTCTTTCTTCTGTTACATATCAGTATCAATATTCATTTTAAAAGCTTGTAGTAATTACAAAATATCTATAGCAGGGTTTTTTTTTTTTCTTCATAGTGGTTCTGCCTTAACCCAACTCTGGCATATCCCATCTTCCAGCACTTCAACTTAGTGGGTGTAAAGTGGCATTTCATTTTAATCTTATATCTAGACATCCTGTTTTTTTCTTTCATAGTGCTGGAGTTAGAACCCAGGACCTCACTTCCAGTCCCTAGGTCTTATGTATTTCTTGCTCGTGTCTTTCTTCTCTTTAACCATCACCCTTTATGTATCTTTGTATTTAAGGAGAGTTTCTTATAGACTTAAAAGTTTTTGTGTTGTTGTTGTTTTTTAATCCATGGTGATAATCTCTGCCGTTGAGTACAATCTGTTTAGATGTAGTGTTAACTACTACTATAGCTGGATTAAGACTACTAATTGGGAGGCTGGAGAGATTGCTCGGTGGTGAGGAGTGCTTGCTGCTCAATCATGAAGATCAGAGTTCAGATCCTAGCACCTATGACAGGCAGCTCTCAAAGACCTAGAGCTCAGTACTGAGAGATACAAAGTATTTGTTTGGCCTCCGTGAGCACCTGAATACCTGTGGGCATACACACACACACACATACACCCCAAACCTTTGGGAGGAAAAGACCACTGTTTTGGCTTCTTTTCCCCTCTACCAGGCATTGAAGCTAGGTCCTCATGAATTTTTGTCAATCATTCTACCACTGAGTCACCTCCCAACAGCAACATTTTTTTTTTTTTTTTGGTTTTTCGAGACAGGGTTTCTCTGTAGCTTTGGTGCCTGTCCCGGAACTAGCTCTTGTAGACCGGGCTGGCCTCGAACTCCCAGAGATCCGCCTGCCTCTGTCTCCCGAGTGCTGGGATTAAAGGCGTGCACCACCACTGCCCAGCTCCAACAGCAACATTTATTTCTATCCCACTGGTTCTTTGGTCCTTTGTTTCTTCATTCTTACCTCATTCCAAATGGACTGTAAAAATTTTTAGTATTTTTGCGTTGTCTCATAGATTTTTTAAAATAGGAACTATTTTTAGTGGTAAAACTGAGATTTATAATAATAATCTTTAACTTATCAGGTTTACTTTTAAATGATATACTGCATAGAGCTCAATAAAAATCGATAAAAAAAATAGCATACAATGTCACAACACTGTAGAAGCTTGTGACTGTGTCTTTGTATTTATACTCCAGTCCTTTGTATGGTCTCATATTTTACTTCTAACGCATTGTTAATATTACACTTTGAGTAGTCTAATATCAGAGAAACACATAGATGATAGTGTAAAATGATAAAAATTAAAACAAAGAAAACTGGTTTTTTTTCTTGTTTCATGGGATAGTTGGGTTGGTTTGTTTGTTTGTAATTGAGACAAATTATACATTGGCATCTAACTAAGAAGTAGCCTCCCTCAAGCTCCCAGCTTCTGGGACTACTACAGGTGTTCACGACCACGGCAAGAGTGATCAATAAGAAGCCAAGAAAGGCTGATATTTTCAAGTGTAAAGGAAAATATCATTGATTCTTTCTACTGCTAGAAATGTGAGGAAAAATTAATGTAACTATTTCTTTTCATGATATCTAGTATGACATGTTTTTCTCCATTGGACGTCAGTTCCTAAAGTTTTATTCTGAAATATGCTTGGTAATAGCTCGGTAACTACCTCCTTTTCACTTCATCACCTTTGGTGCTGGGGATGAAAGCCAGAGTATCGGGAGCCCAGGAGTCTGTGCCGCTGAAGATCTGGCACTGCTCTTCACTGTCGAGAGCGGGAAAAGACAGAGACAGAAACTGCCAGACCACTCTCTGTCCCTGAAATTTTTTCCGTTTTTTTTTTTCTTTTCTAGTTTGAAAAAAAAAGAAGCAGAATGGCAATATGGACAAAAAGTGAAATTTATCTTGGATATCCTAAATTTAAATATGAAAAAATACTAGATATCTCAGAACTGAAAGACGTGCTAAAGTTTGGCAGTACCGACGAAGTAGAAATACATTATTTGGCGTACACGTGGCACCCTCTGGAGCTTGCTGCGCTAGTGTCCTATTGCTCCCCCTGCACTACCACCAAAAAGATGTTCTTGCTGCTGTATAACGAGGATGCACCAAAGTGGGTACTCCAGGACTTCCAACTAGAGGTGCCCGTGGACAGAACATTGAAAGCATATTTCCTTTACTCGGCCCTGCCGGATTTGATCGTGTGGGATGACCGCAGCATATACTATTTCTACCAAAACTACAGCATTCATGGAATTTTAACAGCAGAGTCAGGAGAGAGCGATCTGTCAAAGTTATCAGGTGGCAGCAAAATCCACAACATCATTTCAGGTGAGGAGTTCTCAACCCTGCCAAAATATTCTGGGTTTCGTTGTATTGGTGTTCCAATATGTGGCACCTTTAATGGCTGTGAGTATACATTTAGCCACCTAAAGCTTAATCAATTTTAAACTTGACCAGTGTTAAACTGTGATCCCATGTGGCAGAATGGTGGACTCAAAAGTTTCATTTCACTAGCTTGGCAGATGCTAAGGGAGCAGTTTATTTATTGTCAGGGTAGGAGGTGCTGTGCTGTCTTTTGTTTTGTTCTTTTGAGCAGAGCTCCTCTGTGTAACAACCCTGTCTGTCCTGGAACTGAACTTTGCAGACAAGGCTGACCTCAAACTCTGAAAGTGTTATATTGTTTAATGTTCCTAAGGTTCGCACAACTAAGTACCTTGATCTGTAGCTCCATGCCACAGTCCTACAAGCCAGCTAGGAACCAGAAATCAAGTTGCCAGCAGAACATGCTCCTCTGTAACCTGGAATTTGGGGAGTGGGTGGTGTTTTCTCTTTGTTTTATTTTTGCTTTTCCCCTTTGTAGGCAGAATCTGTTTGTTTCTGTGCTGCCCAGACCTGAATAATCACACAGAAACTATATTAATCACAACACTGTTTGGCCAATAACTTAGGCATATTTTTAGCTAACTCTTACATCTTAAATTAATCCATAATTCTTGTCTGTGTTAGGCACATGGCTTGGTACCTTTCATCAATGAGACATTCTCATCTACTTCCTCTGTGTCTGGGTGATGACTGCAGACTGAGCCTTTGCTCCTCCCAGAATTCTCCTATTCTGGTTGCCCTGCCTACATTTTCCTGCCTGGCTACTGGCCAATCAACATTTTATTAAACCAATACAAGTGACAAATCTTTACAGGGTACAAGACCATTGTCCCACAGTAACCTGTAGTAATGAGAGAGAGAGAGAGAGAGAGAGAGAGAGAGAGAGAGAGAGAGAGAGAGAGTGCTGGAGTGCTGTGTCCCACCATCTGGCTAGCTTATGCCTGAAATAATCACACGGAACTGGTATTAATTAGATTACTGCCTGGCCCATTATATCTAGCCTCTTTTTGGCTAATTCTTATATCTTGCTTTAACCCATATCTAGTCATCTGGGTAGTACCATGTGATTGTGGCTTACCAGCAAGAGTCTAACCTATGTCCGTCTCAGGCAGGAGAATCATGGCGTCTGCCACACTTAACTTCTTCCCAGCATTCTGTTCTGTCTACTCTGCCCACCTATGGGCTGCCCTATCAAAGGACCAAGGCAGCTTCTTTATTTAACCAATGAAATCAACACAAATACAGAAGGACCTCCTACACCAGTAACCCATCTCATGGACACATCAGTCCAGTCTCTCCTCCTGTTACTATACTGTGTTCTTCATGTGCACCTTGTTTTCATGTGGACACCTTTTGAAAGGACACAACCAAAGCAAGGAGATACTTTGTGTATACAAACTCTTGCTGCTCAAGCCCAATGACCCAAGTTTGGATCCCCAGGCCTGGGCACAGTAACATAGCATTTATTATCCCAGCACACCCATGGGAAATGAGAGGCTGGCCAGCTAGCTTAGTTTATAGCTGGTGGGAAGACCCTGCCTCAGAGAAGGCATGAAGGAGAAGCAGCTCTAACACCTGAAGGTTGTCCTTTAACCTTTCTTACACACTACCAGTGAGCTAAACCCCCAAACCCCAATGTAGGTTTATATAGATCTATATTCTAATCCACAAACAAACCACCCAAAATAGTTAAGCCTCAACTTTCCAGTCATCTGGAGAAATGGATTTATATGTCATAATTTGCAGTTAACCCTTTCTTGACCCCGTGTTACCCTCTAACTCACAGCACTTCAGTCTTCTTCCGTATATATTGCAAGGAAGTGTTGTATAGCAGCACTCTTTGTCCCTCTCCGCTGTTTCCCTTCAAATCAAAACTTAGCAGACTTTCTACCAGTCAGCCTTCTTAACTCAGAGTTTGCTTTTCGGGAACCTTGAGTGATCCACCGGTGGCCTTTGAAATAATTTGACATGATCTCTGGGCCTTTCCTTAAAATGCCTTTTTAACTTGGCTTCTAGAGAATCTCTTCTCCCCATGTGTACCCCTCCTCCTCATCCTCCTTCCTACCCCTCAACATCATAACTTCAGAACAGCAAGCCAAGCACCCCAGAGCATGTTTTGCTGACTTCTGAACTCTGTTGATCCTTGTGGTTTGCCCTGCAGCCAGCATCCCCAGGCTGATCTCACTGCTCCTATCTCCGGCTGCCCTTGCCAACACATTTATGGGGATAAGTAGCAGTCATTCCAAATCTCAAGTGTCCGAGATATTTATATTGAAAGATGCCTAAGGAGATTTGTAAAATACACCTCTTGGTATGTCTGTGAGAGCAACAAGGGATGCCTAACTGAAGGAGGCTGGGGAACCTGCCCTGAGTCATCACAAAATCCCATTGGCTGGAGTCCTGAATGAAATAGGAGAAGAGGAGAGAGCCAGCCAGCGCAGGCACTTCCCTGCTTTCTGCCCACCATGAAATAAGCAGCCTCCCCTTCCATGGGCTCCTGCTAGCATGGTGGTGAGCATCTATTTGGGCCCAAAGTCAGACAGTCAGCTCACTTGAGACTCAACTCTCAACCCGGAAGTCAAAATGAATCACTCCTTCTTCTAAACTGTTTCTGTCGATGAGAACATGATCAACCAAACCACACAGAACAAAAATGGTACCAGACAGATACAGTCACTGTTGTAGCCAGATTTGACTGTAGTTCTTTTTTTTTTTAGTGCCTAAGACAAAGTTTTTTTTTTATTGCTTTATAAATAATACCATTCAAAATTTCCACTTCCTCCCCTCCTTTCATTTCCCTCCCGCTCCCACCTCCCCCTCCCCCTCCAGTCCTAAGAGAGGGCAGGGTGTCCTGCCCTCTGGGAAGTCCAAGGTCCTCCCCCCTCCATCCAGGCTTAGGAAGGTATAGTTCTTAAACCTCTGAGGCTCACCTGTAGTAATAATCTGGAAAAGTATGAAGGTGCAGGCTAGAGCAGTTCTGGAATGTTACATGCAAGGCTTAAAATGTACTTTTGTTTTAATTATGTACATATGTGATTGGAGGTGTATGAGCACATGAGTCCAGGTACCTGGGATGCCAGAGAAGGGTCATCTGGAGCTGGAATTACAGGCAGTTGTGAGCTGCCCGTGACATGAGTGCTGGGGACAGAACTTAGGGCCTCTGGAAGAACAGTTCTGGACACCGAGGTCAATGGTCCAGTTCTGGTGAGAGCTCAGAAGATCAAACTGTCATTAGAAATGTGGGCAGGAATGACTGGGTTAAAGAATCTGAGAAGACAGCCATGTTCCAGCCTGGCAAAGAACTTGGCTATGTTCTGCTCGTGTCCAGAGTCTGCCCATATCCAGAGGCTGAGATTTAAAGTAAAAATCAAATTAATTTTGTGAAGGGACTGTCAAGACAGCCTGCATTACAGGTTTTACTGGCTGCTTTAGCAAGGTTCTTGGGAACCGAGAGCAAAAAGGATGGAAATCTTTGATGTTTACACAGAAAGGTCTGTGAAAATTTGAGGCTGAGGAAGGCCTGCTTTCTGAAGAGATTGCCACTGTTAACTAAAAGCCATGTGTTTTGTCTTTGGGACCATAGAAAAAGTTACCTTGGGAACTGGATAGGACTCACCCAGTGCATACTTGAAGGTATCAAAGAATACAAGCATGTGAGAGTCTCTCCCCTTTGAAAGGAGCCTCCAGGGTACCCTGCCAGCACAGAAGACCTCAGAAGCTGTTTCTCAAGATTCTTTTCACTATGCTCAGTCACATAGATACTCAGAGGCCAGTGTGGCTGTGGTCTAAGGGAGCCTGGCCACCCCTGAAATTGGCAATAGACCTTGGCTTCATCCACACTATGACAGTTTTGTAGGCATGCAAACTATAAGAGCTAATGGGGTGGTGGTTTAATTGTAGACAGATTTGATTTATATGCAGATTTAATTGTACCCTGTAACTGCTTAATCATTCACCAAAAATATCCACTATGTCATCCCCACACACATTTCTTCCCTTCCACCTTTTGATTCACTGCAAATTTAATTAGTATATTATTTATGGTAATTTATGAATTAGTGATTTACTCTGCTTGCAAATGTAAGATACATTGAGCATCATACACCCCTGACTCCATGCTTCAACCTCCCTGCTTCCAACCAGTCATCTCCCAGGGTTGCCCTAGTCCTGTCCCATTTTAGGCCAAGCACTCTGTTAAGGTGAGAAAGACAGTGGTTTCTCATCCAGTACGGAATGCATTATCCTACTAGGATGACCCACACAATACTACAGGCTGAGTGCTTTAAACAATACACATAAATTTCCTCACATTTCTGCCAGTCCAGAGTCAAGGCACTATCAGGAATGAATTCTATTGAGCCAACAGTCTCCTCCTCACTGTCTTCCCAGGACCCTAACCTGTGTGTGTGTGTGTGTGTGTGTGTGTAGAGGGGGGGGGGGGGGGGGGGGGGGGGGGGGGGGGGGGGGGGGGAGGGAGAGAGAGAGAGAGAGAGAGAGAGAGAGAGAGAGAGAGAGAGAGAGAGAGAGAGATCTTCCTGAAGGGTGTATTCTTCTTCTTTCAAGGATGCCAGTCCCACTAGGTTAGTGTCCTGTGCTTATGACCTCATTTAACTAGAATTACTTCCTTAAAGGCTCTGTTCCCCAGTGTAGTTAGAGGGGCGAAGAAAGCTCCGGGATACAAATTTGAAGGAAGCACGAGTCTGACTGTAACATCCTCCTCTCTGATAGTCCTGCCCTTGCCACATTCATGCTCTTTACTTAAAACACTGCGTATGTGGTGTGATAAAAGAGACATAGCGGCTGTGAAGAGACGTGCTCCTTGAATACGTGCCAAGTTTCCTGCTTGTTCACTCTAGGTTTTTTTCAAGATATGTAGTCATAATAGAAGGGATTCTTTTTAATCAAAGTATACGTCAATAAAAACATGACTTACGCTGACTTAAAATAACCCAAATCTGGCCCAGTGAGAGGGATCCACAGGTAAAAAGTGCTTAACACCAAGCCTGACAATCTGAGTTTGATTCCACGGAGCCCACAAACGGGAAAGAGAGAACCAAATTTCCCACATCTCCACTTGTGTGTTATAGCATATGTATGTACGTGCAGGCACATGCACACACAAATAAACATTACGAAACTAAATAACATGTAAACATTTTCTTCTCTCTCTTTTCCAGATCATAAAGGGGATATTTTGGTAAAAATGGAAAATAACATAATGTTCTTTTTCAAGTCTGACATTTCACATGCAATCAAGCTACATGCATGGATGAATACAACAATAAAGACAGCGTTTTACCAAAACCAACTTACTAAACCTTATTTGTTATGTTATAGTGATCAAAACGGGCTGCAGCATCAGGATTACCCCTTATATCAGGAGCTACAAAGTGTATTTTACAAAACCCCAGAACAATGCCCATATGTGGCATTTCAACACAATATTTTTAGTCAAGTTTACTTTATGGACAAAGGAACTACCCTGACATTTTGGACCCAATTAGTCTACCTAGAAAATACAGGTCTCAGTATTGTTGTAGAGCACTACGGCCCAAATATATTGACCTGGACACAGGAAGTCTCCTATGAGATTGCCTCGGGCTTCTCCACCAAAAGTATGGTAAGTTGGTATTTTTTATTTAGTTTGAATAAACATAAAAACATGAGCTGCTTCTTGTTCTTGTTCTTCTTTGTGAGAGACAGAGAATATTACTCAACAGGTAGGCTAGGCTAGTAAGCTGGTGAGCCCGAGGGGTCACCTGCCTCTGCACACCTGGGAAGAATTATCCGAAGTTAGTTCCTGGCCATGCCTGTAAGAGATTTTCTTGAGTAGGTTAGTTGAAATGGAAAGTCTGAATTGAGCATGGCATCTGGGCTTCGGCCCAGACAGAAGCAAGTCAGAGGAGAAACCTTGGGCTTTAGCCTACTTGCCTTTGCTCTCGCTGATGAGCGTGTCTACCCGGGTTATACTGCCGCCACCACTGTTTCCCACTGCTACTGGTGACATCAGAACCCAATTTTTTTATTTTTGTCCTTCTGACATGAAATGAAAACCAGCAGCTCTCCAGGAAACCCACAGGCTTTCCGCACCAGAATGGGACTGTGGAAACGGCCAGCCTCCTAGACTAAGCAGCTGCTGGCCTACCAGCCTCTCTAGCATGAGGACCGCCCCCGTTGGACTAGCTAGACCATATCATGTAAGCCATCCCACTTTAAAAGTAGCTGCCAGGCTGTTACTGTCTCCAGAGTTTTGGGTACAGCCACTGTTGTGCACCCAGCCTACATCATGTAAGTCAGTCTAATAAATCTGCTGTTTCCGTTCCTGGGGTGGGGGCTCTAATACCTGAGGAAGCAGGCGAGCTCTGAGACAAACAAGGTATGTTACACAGCCGAGGAGAATGCAAACAATAGTTGCAGAGTTATTGCAGCCGTATTTCCAAACCACCACTATAACAGAGGTAAATATAAGGTATATAGTATTGTGTATTGTATTTTTTTTTTTTTTTTGGTTTTTCGAGACAGGGTTTCTCTGTGGCTTTGGAGCTTGTCCTGGAACTAGCTCTGTAGACCAGGCTGGTCTCGAACTCACAGAGATCCACCTGCCTCTGCCTCCCGAGTGCTGGGATTAAAGGCGTGCGCCACCACCGTCCGGCTTGTATTGTATTTTAATATTATACAGTATTGTCAATATAGAGCATAATATTATTATACGATATTGCATTATTGATTGTCACATTATATATAATGTATTGTTACACATTAAAATATACTAATTATTAATACACAATAATAAAATCCCCAAAATGTGGGAGGCTGAAATTACAGGAGCGCACATTCACACAGCGAGTGAACATTTTTAAAAACTCTCAAAAACAACAGAAAAGAAAAGGGTCTGGAACTAAAGCAAAGAAGATATGTGTGATGGTTCAGAGAAGAACCATCTAGAAAGGAAAATTACATTGTGGTCTTCTGATCTTAGGACATAAGGAGACAGAAAAACCAAAGTGCTGCAGTGACCAAGGCTGAATGTGGGGAGCGCGAAGCCTGAAAGGGGCCTGGGAAAGGATCCAGTCAGTGAGGTGCTTGCCCTGTAAGCACAAGGACATGAGTTTGATCCCCAAAACCCATATATTTAAAACAACAACAACCCAGGTTTGGTAGCACACACTTTAAATCCCAGCATCTTGTTCTTAGAGACAGACAGATCCCTATGGCTCGCTACCAGCCCCACTTCCGTGACAGGCCCTGCCTCAAGAGGAAGTGGGCAATCTGGAGAGATGGCTCGGTGGCTAAGAGAACCTGAGTACCAATCTTGGAGCCCAGATGATAGCTCACAACCATCTGTAACTCCAGTTCCAAGGGTTCTTATGCCCTCTTCTAGCTCGGAGGGCACTGTATGCATGTGGCACACATACATACAGACATGCAGGCAAATACACATCAAATAAAAGGTAAAAGAAATTTTTTAAAGATCACAAATGATACCTGAGAAACAACATGCAAAGTTGTTCTCTGGCTTCCCCAAGGAATACATGGGCACATGCACACACACACACACACACACACACACACACACACACGAGTAAAAGAAGGAACAACATACAATAATGTATACATAATTAAGATTTTACAAGAGCAAGATTTGGAAGAAGAAAAAAAAAAGGCCAGTAATGGCCAAACCCATAAAGACATTCGTCACCAAGCCTGAGGACCCACATAGTAGGAGAGAACCAACTCCTGTAAGTTGTCCTCTGACCTTTATATGTATGTCATGGCACATGCATACCCCTGCACACACACACACACACACACACACACACACACACACACACACACACTAAATGGATAAATAAATAAATGTCAAGTATATTATTTCTCTTACTAAAACATTTAAATGTCTAAAGTATACAACGTGTCTTACAGAAAGTTGGTTTGCACTGATGAACACTGTAACCTGTTCCAGTGTATCTAGATGTCAAACCTAAATGATACTAACTTGAGGCCCCGTTTCCACCTTTTCTGCTCGACAGAAACTTTGTTATTTTCTTTTTCAGTTAACAACATTTTTTCAGCAAACAAATTACGAATTAGTAGATAATTACTTCCAGCTACAGTAAGTATGACTTTTAAATACATTACTTGAGTTTCTGATGTTTTTGTTTTCTTTTATTTAAATGAACTCGCACCCTTTCCAAAGTCCAAATTTCAAATTCTTTTGCATGTCTAGATCTATGTAAAGTGAATATTCAGCCTTTAAAATGTAGGCACTCCTTGCAATCCAGTGGGATATGATCTGACCAATGAACTCCAGGGGTCATCCTGTGTCCCTTTACCCCCTTTGCTGGGATTACACTATGCCTGTCTTTTACATGGGTGCAGGAGATCCAAAATTCAGGTCCTCGTGCTTATGTGAAATGGTGGCACATGTCTGTAATCCCAGCACTGGGGGCAAGGAGACACGGGATGATCTCTGGAGTTCATTGCTCAGCCATTCTAGTCCAATCAGTGAAGGTCAGTAAGAGCTTGTCTTAAAAACTAAGGTGGGCAATGATTAAGAAAGATATCTGGCGTCGACCTCTGGTCCCTACTAGCACATAAATGAGTACACACATGCATGTACACGCAGATGTATACACACACGCGCGCGCGCACACACACACACACCACAAAGAAGAAAGAAAAGACAACAAGATGGAGGGGCAGAGATAGGAAGAGCTTGGAGAAAATGCTTCTTGTATACAGTAGTCAGGAGAGTCTCTGTCACCCTTTCTTGTTCACTCTGGCTTTGAGGGATGGCTGATCACAGCTGTCCATTGATGAGATCTAGATTTATCTAGGAGATGGTCTCTGAACATGCCTATGGGGATCATCATGCTTAGGCTAACTGAAGTGAGAAGACCAGACCTTTGTGAGTGGGACCATTCCCTGGTGAGCTGGCTAGTTTTATGTCAACTTGACACAAGTTAAATCATCTGAAAGGAGGCGACCTCAGTTGAGAAAATGCCTCCATAAGATCCAGCTATAGGGTGGTTTCTTAATTAGTAATGGGAGAAGGCCCAGCCCATGCTGGATAGTGCCATTCCTGGGCTGGTGGTCCTGAGTTCTAGTAAAAAAAAAAAAAAAAAAAAAGCAGGCTGAGCAAGCTATGCGGAGCAAGCCAGTAGGTAGCACCCCTCCTTGGTCTCTGCATCAGTTCCTGTGTCCAGGTGTCTACCCTATTTGAGTTCCTGTCCTGATGGCCTTTGATGATACAGAAGTCTAAGTCAAATAAACCCTTTCCTCCCCAAATGGCTTTGGTCATGGTGTTTGATCACAGCAATAGTGACCCTAATTAAGACACCTGGAATGTAAATAGGGAAAGGTACACCAGAGGCAGCATTTATCCATCTCTGTTCCCTGGCTATGGATGTGATTCTTCTTGCTGCCTTCACTTCCTCATCAAGATAAACTCTACCTATGAACTGTGAACTCAATATAGACTCTCCTTTGTAACTGGAGGTTTCTTTCCCGCTCACCAGTTCCTGAATAACCACTCTGTGTCTTAATATTAATTACACACTGTTTAGACTATTGGTTCAGGCTTATTATTAACTAGATCTTACAACTTAACCCATTTCTTTTAGTCTGTATTTTACCACCTTGACCTGCTTTCTCCTGAATGTGCTCTTCTTTTTGTTCTATGGAGTCCCCACCCCCTTGGCAACACCTTTGAAACAATGGAGAACAGTTCACCTCATAACCTCATTAAGTTGCATAATTGATTTGAACTCAAAGAAAGGCCAGACAGAAAGCCTTTCTTAGTACCATGTGTACATGGATCATTTTGTGTCTGAGCAAAACAGAGGTTTCAAAAAGAACAGAAACACAAGATTCAAAAGCTTGATTTCAGACACTACTTCCTGGTAAGATTTTGCTTTTCAGGCAGGGGTCTCGATGGAAAAGAAAATATCTTAGATAATTTTATGTGTGGTCTATACTGTGCAGAACCTCAGTACCCAGACACTGAGGATAAGTTGTGAAGAGAGTGAGGAAGTACCTAAAATGCTGCCGGATACTCACTTCTGTTTCATGCTGCGCTACCATATGGTCAACGAGGAGATCCAATAGAGCAGGAAGGGGGTGGGGGGGAGTACTGGAGCTGCCGTAGGACATTTCCATAGTGAAGAGCTGCCTTCATGGAAGTAGCCACCTTCCAGGTTTCTTCAGCTCTCCAGAGGGTTCAGCCCCACATGTACTAGGACTTCACATTTGCTCGCTATAAAGACTGATTCCTGACTGTCTCCTGCTGCCATGAGTCTACCATAACCTGCATGCATTATTTTTCCCAGGCAAAAGAACATGGGTCTCGTGCTTGTTCAATTCCGACCTACCGAATCTTCAAAAATGTGTCCAGTTTCCAAACAGGTGGGTAACATGGTCCGGAGATCAACTATTTTTCTTCAAAAATATATAGTCAGGGACTGGGAGGTGGGTCTGTGGATGAAGCCTTTGCCACACAAGCGGGAGGACTAGAGTTTGGCTCTTCAGAGCTCACATAAAGGCTGGGTGGGTGTGGCAACCCACCTTGGATAATCCCAGCATTTGGATGGTGGAGTCAGGGGATCCCCAGAGCAAGCTGGCTGGCTAGACTAGTCACATCAGTGAGCTCTGACTTCAACGGAGAGACTCTGCCTCAAAAAACAAGGTTGAGAGCAGTTGAGGATGTTTCCTGGCACCAACCTAAGGCCTCCACACTTAAGTATACACATGGATATTCGCCTACACGTGTATGTACCTACACATACATGGGCACACACACGAGCACACCGCACACACAGACACACACTAAACAATGTATAGTTGGTAAACTAAACAATACCTTTATCTTCCATGCAGTCCTCTCCCCTCTGCTTCTCATGTTGCAATGTTTCACTGGGAAGATATCCATCCTTTGTTTTGGAAGCAGAAGATACAATTTCTGCCTCCTGGAAGTCTTTCAACTAAAGTGGGATTGTGTAAATGTATGAAAAAGGGGGCAGCATTATTAGTTTTTGAAGGGTTGAAGGTAAACTGTGTAAAGGGAAACTGAAACTGATGGGAACAAATGCATGGGGTAGGACTTGTCAAAGGAATCTGCCCAGACACGCCCACACAGAGCATGCATTTTTATTTATTCAGAGGGACTCGTTGGCCTATTTCTGGTGTTTAGTCTGTGTACTTGGCAACGGGAGTTCTAAAGTGCCCTCCCTCGAGGGCAGTACACCTGGTGTAAGACAACATGATGCACACAGTCACTAAGTAGCTCAGAGGGGAGAGAAAGCAGCTTTGATTGAGAGGGGAAAGATGAATAAAGAAGAGAGATGAGATGTATGACTGAAGAACACGTAGACACAGCAGGCAGAAGCAGAGGGACTCCACGACAAGGCCCAGGAGACACCCCCAAGGTGAGAAGCAGGATGCTCCGGCAGTTGCTGGTACTTCTCTCCTTTGGATCTGTGTTCTGTTAGCACTTCTCTGTCTAAGCAGCACAGGCATACCAACCAGAATAGGCTATTGGAGGGCTTGGTTGCCTCTCCTTTCAGATGTAGGACAAGACCCCTGTTTGTACCAGGGCAAGATGTTATGAGTTTCAAGGGGGCCTTTGACTAAGATCTATCCTAGGGATGTGATCTATCTTTAGCTGTGGTCGCACAGGCTGCCTCCCTAGGCACTGTTAGCTGAGCACCGCTGACCACACCGCCCGTCTTCACCAACCGCACCACCTACCCTTCTGCATCTTGCAGCAGAAGCGCAGAACCTGCCACCTTGACTAAGTCTGGATTCTCTGCCTTCAGAGCTTTGGCCAGCACCTTTGTGGGGACTTTCCGGAAGCTCGTGGTTTCTCCTGTCCCTCTCTACTCATGAATATTTCAAGGCTTCCTCTTTGCCTGACCCTGCCCAGCCCAGCTTTAGCCAACAGACTTGTCTCATCTGCGTTCAGATCTCGGCCACACCATTCGCTGGTTTGGCCAAGATTCTGTGCCCTTTGAGACCTTCCTGCCCCCACTGTAAAAGGAAACATTGGTCTTATATGAATGTCGAAAGTGATAAGTGGGATCTTTTATGAAAATAGTCAAAAAACAACGCCTGCCATAGAATAATTACCTGATAACACTGGGACTGAGGGGAGGTTTCCCCTACTCCTTTGTTTCAAAGCAATTCTGATTCAGACCTAACCTTGCAGGCCCACTGCAGGTGGACAATGGCCTGTCTCTGAGATCCAGTGGAGTATTGTGCAACAGCCCTCCTAAGCAACAGGAAAACGTGATGCTGCAGAGACAGGTTGTCCAGTTAGCCAGGGAAGTCAAAACCTGTGCACCAACTACAGAGTCTGTTCTCAAGCGCAGGGTCCATTCTTTGCACTCTGGAGCCACGCTCATGAATTATCAAATAAGTCGTGAGCCTCCTGGGAAAATGGTCCAGAGACAGACAGTGCCGGCTCTGCCCTTTCTCCATCCGATGATGTCAGGCTCTTGTTAAAACCGCCAGATCGAATGAGCTACAATGAGCCTGCCATCTTTGCCATTCGACCTCATTGCCTGCAGCAAATAGAGCTGTTGTCTCCAACAAGGCAGCATGGCACCTCTCAACCGTGCACCAAGAGTGGAACAGGCAGAGGAGCCAGCCAGCTCCCAGGTGTCCCCGCTAATTCTCTAGGAGAAGAATTATGCCATGAAGTAATGTTGCCCACCAGCATGTCAGTGACAATGGTCGTTAGAATTCCCACGTGGGGACATTGTTCCATAAGCTGGGCCTGCTGCTGAAGGGATGCCCAGCGGCTAAGTGTTGAGTTCCCAGGGTTTAGTCCTTAGCACCCACGTGGGCTGGCTAACAACCGATTGTAACTCCAGCTCCAGGGGATCCCATGTCCTCTTCTGGCCTCTGTGAGTATCTGAATACATGTGGTGCGCACACAAACAAGCATGCAAATACACAGATACATAAAGTAAGTTTTTCTGGGCTTGACCTGAACTGAGGCTGGACCAACCCTGTCCTGTCTCGGAACTAAAGAGAAATGGTTTCCTTTAGGCTCTGGATAAGATTGTCTCCCAGCAGATGTCACACGCCTAACCTGCAGCTGTAGTTCCCTCAGAAAACACATTTCCTCTTTGTCCAGATCCTTTTCCAAGTCCACCTACAAGACAACTCATATTTTTAATCCTACCTGTAGTTACTGGGATCTGGAGCTTGTGACTTTTGACGACTCAGAGCAGGATGAGAACGGGGTTTTACAATGAAACCGTCACGTGACGGACACCATTTGTCCTGACCATCACATAGCTGAGTTGGGCAAGCACCCTTTGATGGGACACGGACAGCTTAGTAAGCAGAAAGGGCAGGGTGGGTTTTGCAGGAAAGAAAAGACTGAATGATCCTAGGTAGTACGAGAGGCAAATCAGCTTTGCTGAGAAGATAAACCGTATCCTGTGGGCGAGATGCTTAGCCAATGAAATCCAAGAACTCCCTCTGTGGAATATTCCTCTGACAAGAGGAATGAAAGGCCATGGAAAGGGAACCAGGAGCTTGGCTCTGACAGAAACATGGGCAGTTCTACAAAGCTAAAAAGCAGTTGTGTGCTAGTTTTCCTTCCTTCCTTTCTTCCTTTCTTCCTTTCTTCCTTTCTTCCTTTCTTCCTTCCTTCCTTCCTTCCTTCCCTCCCTCCTTCCCTCCCACCTTCCCTCCCTCCCTCCTTCCCTCCTTCCTTCCTTCCTTCCTTCCTTCCTTCCTTCCTTCCTTCCTTCCTTCCTTCCCTCCCTCCCTCCCTCCCTCCTTCCCTCTCTCCTTTCTTCCTTCCCTCCTTCCCTCCCTCCCTCCTTCCCTCTCTCCTTTCTTCCTTCCTTCCTTTCATCTGCTGTATTTTCAACACTGGCTGTCTTCTTAAGCTTTCTTTTAAGGCCGATGCAGTCATTATTTTAGTCCTACATAAGCTGTGTGCAATTTTTAAGCAATATATTTCTGAGAATTGACAGTCAGAGTAAAGCTTTGACCAAGAGTTCTTAATGGTAGAGATTCAATAATGTTAACCTCTAAACTTTAAATATGATATTACCAGGTATGAAAAACAAGAAGAAACAAAAAGTCTCTTTCATTTTTTTTTTTAAGACAATCATCATTCTACCATGTCCCTCCTGGAAAAGCGTTTGATCTTTCCAACAACAGAGAGATTCAGGAGCAAAACTAACATATTTATCAAATCAGGGTCAGGCAAAAAGCAAGAGGGTTAACTGAATTCAAGAGTTCAGGGAGAGCCTGGACAAAGTAACAAGAACCTATATCCAAAAACTAGGGAAAATATGTGTGTGTATGTATATGTGTATCTTACACAGACATCACATCAGACTGCAATAGCTTTTGTATGTATGTATATATCTGTGGTATATATGCAGGTGCACATATGTGTAGGTACGTGTGTTTGTGTGTTCACAACTGTGGAGGCCCAAGGTTGATGTCAGATGCCGTTCTCAATGCATTCCACCTTACATATTCAGGGGTCTCTCTCGCGGTGGAGTTTTATTTGGTTCTTTCAACGTTGCCCTTTTCCATGTGGATTGTCTGTATTACGTCACTGCTGCCTTTCCCACTGAATCCAAGAGTCTCTCCCAGTAAGCATGAGCTGTGTCAGTAAGTCCTCCCACAGTCTGGCAGACACTGTGCTGGCTGCTGAACACCCGTAGCTGCGGTAATGCAATACACACTGGTGAAAGACCCTCCATTTCAAGGGCGTTTGGAGATACCCCCAGACTCAATAAACCAGGCCAGTGGATGCAGTCAGCAAGAGGCTTCTTTAATGCTCACATGCGCTTGTGGGTGACCCAGCAGCTCCCGCCAGCTGAGCACCCTGAACAACTCTCCAACCCGCATTTATAGGATTTTACAGGTTACATAATGGGGGAGCACAGCAACAGCAATCTCATTGGTTCCTTAAATGGCAGGCTTAGGCCGTCCTGGGGACAGCCCCGTTTGTCTGTTCCCAAGTTCCCCAAACGACCACAAAGCTAGATAAAGCTAGATAAGGTACCCTAGGGGGCTGCTTCATCAATTCGACAGTTGTGATAAGGTACCCAAGGGGGCTTGGTCCAGTCAGCTAGCCTCTGACCAGATGCAAACCTTGAATATCCTGTTCTGGTGCCAGTTGTCCACAACAGAGACGGTGTCTAACCCAAGGTCACGTATCTCTGTCTCCTAAAGGTTAACTCAGTTCACATCTGTCGTTTATCAGGGATGGCCAGGACACCACTCTCAGTTTGTAGGGAGAAGCTTTGGCCTTGGTTGTAAAACGACCTAAGCTTCCCAGACACCTGAGAAAATAGCTCACTGTGAATGACTGATCCTTGATCTGCTGAGAAAGCTGCTAAGAGTCTGCTCTCATTCCCCTCTACATTCTTGTTTTTGGAATCTATATTTTTATTTTCTTATTCTTGGACTCTTCACTGGGAATGTGGAAACACGCGCGGCCTGCAATCACGGCACACAGAAGGAAACAGTAGGCTATCTGGCACGTGAGGTTAGGGTGTTTAAAACAAATAGCCATAGGCCTAGGATGTAGCCTATCAGTAGTTGACTAGCAAACCAAGATAAGCCACTCCTGCAAGGCTACTCAATTCACTGACAAATTACTGTTTGAATTAAGTGCGTACTAGATGCCCGCTGGCAAAACCTACAGCACTGGCTGCAAGCATGGCATTGATAGGGGTGCAGCTGTGGAGGTAGAAGATGAGTCCCACTGGGGCTCACCCCCAAGATAGCTCATTAGATATATGCAAATTCTCTAAAATCTGGGACAGATAAGAGATAGTCTGTGTTTCTAATCTAAAATGTAACTGTGTTTGGCTCTAAAGCTAGCTCAGGTCGTGCAAGTCCGAGTCGCTGAATTCACTTTGTAAAATTACTTCATTTTCAGGCACTTGAAATTGCTGTCGGATGTGATATAGATAAATACATTGAGGTTAAAGGGTAAGTACATCTCTTCCATTTGTTGTTAGGCCTTACTCTTAAGTTTTCACACAAACTGTGCGTGGAGCGGTAATCATGGCTTGAAAACACCAGCCTCTTACGGGCATGCTTATGGTGAAATCTAAAGTTGAACTGGAATCGGTGCCCAGCTTCAGTGGGTTTGAATATTTTATTTTATGTACATGACCGTTTTGCTTGCAAATGTATTTGTGCACTACCTGCATCCCTGGTGCTCTCAGAGTCCAGCAGAGGGCATCGGGTCCCCTACAACTAGAATTACAGACAGGTGGAAGCCACCAAGGGGGTACTGCGTATCAACCTGGGGGCTCTGTAAGAGCTGTCAGTGCTCGGAAGCACTGAACTAGTTCTCCAGACCCTGGTTTGAAGTCACCATTAAGTCACATACTGTGCTTGAGCCACACTGGGAGGCAGCATTTCTTTGATTGCTACTGTGTTAGTTTGAATGTAATTGGCCCCCAATAAGTTCACAGAGTGGCACTATTAGAAGGTGTGGCTTTGTTGGAGCAGGTGTGACCTTGAAGGAAGTGTCACTGTTGGGGGTGGCCTTTGAGGTCTCCTGTGTGCTCAAGTCACACCCAGTGTCTCAGCCCACTTCCTGTCACCAGCATATAAAGATGTAAAACTCTCAGCTCCTTCTCCAGGACAATGTCTGCCTGCATGCTGTCATGCCCCACCATGATGGTAATGGACGTAACTGCTGAAGTGTAAGCCACCCAATTAAATGTTCCCTTTATAAGAATTGCCATGGTCATGGTGTCTCTTCACAGCAATAGAAACCCTAACTAAGACAGTCACTCCCCACCATAACAAGTCAGTGTCTGTCCTTGCTGTTACTCATCAGTCTGCAACATGGTCCCATAAAACAAGAGAGGGAAGCCATTCTCCCTTCTTTCCATCCTACTTAAACCACTTGTGATTGTCCCTTGTCAGAGACTTCTCTACGCCTATACTAGAAAGGTCTCCTCTTCCTGCACTGCTTTCCCTGGATAGGTTTCCTAGTAACAGAACCACCAATGGTTCCCTCAGAGCATCCCAAGGTTTGAATTTCCTCGACCTCACAGTGAGGCCCATAGCTCGTGCTGCCCATTTGTAAAGCTGTCTTCTGCACAGTAGAGAATCTACATCAACACACGCAAGTCTGTTCGACTGAGGTCCAGTGCTTAACGGAGACAACTTATTTTGGCCTCTTTCCTTTGTGAGGGTGGGAGTGAGTGTGCTGTGGGAACGTGTGGTGGTGGTGGTGGTGGTGGTGGTGGTGGTGGTGGTGG